GAAAGTCTCTTTGGGTTCCAGGACATAGTTAATTTGAGGGGGGGGGGGGATTTAAAACTTAGGACAGATTTATGAATTAGTCGGTGCACAAAATGAGCGTAGACAGGTCAACTCGTGACCCATAGTTTGTGGGTAACGATGAATCATACATGGGGGATTTAGAATATGCGAATTCTTCACCCCATTTCATTAATCTGGTAAATGTTACTTCTTTGAAATAAATTATTAATCATTTAATGGTGAAATTTACGAGAGAAACTTGACTTTATCGGTTTTAGAGAAATTTAAGACAGCTTCTGACAAAGCTCATTTTCACATAATTCAAATGTGAGTAAAATTGATTGCGTTAATTAAACAAATATTTTAAAAGCATGCTTTATAAGAAGTGCCCAGTTGTTATCGCTAATGCCTCTGTAAAAGCATTAAATTTGAAGTAATTTCTTAAGACTACGCAATACCTCCCATATCTCCTAAGTTTACACGAAAGATCAGCATTATTCAGTCATTGGATTTTGTAAAAAATGTGTTGGGTAAAAATTTAAAAAATAACTTACAAGGTGGTAGTAGTGAACTTTTATTTACAATGAAATTTGAAATAGTATTAAAAAAATACCATAGGTCACATAATTATTCTCTTAAACGATTTTTAAAGAAATGTCTTATTATGATCATCATATGATCTTGTGTCTGAGAACATATTGAACCTTCGTCTTTTTAGTTCTAGTGAGAGTGCGACTATCAGTTCTATGGTTGCATTTCCAAGTCTAATTTGATCTTGTTCCTAAGTTAATTTTATTCGCAACTTTAGGAAATCACTTTCATCAGAACCCAGATGATCGATCTATCTTGACTTTACTTCAGCGTGTTGAGATTGTTTCTCAGTTCCCCAACTCAGTCTATAGTTCTTTGATCACTTTCTTCTCATTCTAACTTCGCATGCAAACAATATTTTTTTTACGCACTGAACCACCAAATAACTTTACGCTTTTAACCCATATCATTCCACCGAGATTCATTAAAACACTTCAGCCATCGGCTTCTCCTAAGTTAGAAGGAAGTTTGCTCAGCTTGAGTCTAAAGTTCCTAAGCTAATTAGATAACACCTTCAGTTCCTCTTTACTGTTGTGTATGTATGTTCTCTTCCTAATTCGCTTGCCATTCCATGTTATGAAAAATCGATATATGAAGCAAAGCTGCCCATTTCATACATTTATTACTTTAAGTTGATACTTGATACTTATCAAAACGTATCTATCTAGAAATATTTTCAAGAACAATCGTTAATAATACGAAATTAGTTTCTCATTAAAGAGAGTTGCTTTATACGATGCCAGCGGTGTGGTCATGATGGGGACTAAAATAGAGAATAACCATCGACTCTAATCAAAAGAGAAGCGGCGGTGAAAATTTTGACCATTCACCAAAGTTAAGAACCTATTTTAAATTGTCACTAACAGAAATATTATCGAAAACTTTCTCCAACTATAAAGTCTTTGTTTAGTTCTTAAAATACATGGGAATAGTAGAATTTTTTGTTATCTCTACAAGGCTTTATCAACTATAATCACCCACAGAAGTATCATTGAATTGTAAAGTCAGCGGTACTAGCTTTTTAGAGCAGAGAGACTACAAAATTATAACTGAGAAAAATAAATTTAAGGATGTCTAAATATTTCATCGAAGTTCATAATAGAGCAGAAAATTGGTCGAATAGTTTAAGGTTGATGTGTAATTCTCGTATCGATTAATGCGAATAAAATAGTTTTAAGTGATTAAAATCACATTCGATCGTCAACTGGATGCAAAATTAACACTTCTATAAATCTTAATTGTTAAAAAGTAATTACTTAATATCTCATTGGTTACTTCAAGATAGTTGATCGCCCACCGATTTTATGTTTATCAATGAAAGCATAAAAAATGTTTTAAACTTCAAATTGTTCGGTAATTACTAGAGAAATCTGTTCGATTCAGTAGGAATTTTTTATACTTCTATAAGAAGTATCTAAGTGTGTACTTTTCTTTAAAGAGTAAAACCGATTGAGAACCAATAAGAATACTTCTATTTTTTAGGCAAAGCGTATAAAAGGGGAGTTGGCTATTGTAGTTCAGTGATAATAATGAAGATCAAGAGCGTTGTCATAACTGTGCTCACTCTTTATGCTACGCTAAGTTGGGCCAACAACTGCCACTGCTCAAATTGTACTGATCAAGGACAATGCTGCCCAAACCATCAACAGTGTTCACATCAGCAAAATATGGGCAGTTCCAACATTATACTACAAGCCACTCCAATGAATATTGCAGTTCAGTACGCTGACGGCGCTAAAATGAAGGAAATTCTTCTTGAGGCCCCAATTCAGCAAGTACTTTGCTCATTTGATCCTGCAGCTTTACATTCTCTCCTAAGCTATCTTCCCGGCATCAATACTGGAAATGATTCGCCAGCAGTAGTCAAGCAAACAATCTGCAATGATAAAGAATTCTATGCGAAAATGAACAGTATCCACCCCGATACTTTTAAGCGGATGATAAACGCTCTGCCAGATATCAACTTCCTATTCACCTATTTGGATCCATCCTTCTCCGCAAGAATAATTCAATCTGCAAATGAAGTTGCTATAGTAAATAGTCATCGCTCATTCTTGGATAATCGCAATGTTGTTTTCCATCTCTACCAGGAAATGCCCAATATTGATAGCAACTACACGTCTACGTTACTCGATGTTAATTGTGGGTATATTTACTATGTAATGGAAGACCACTATAATCTTGAATATCTCATTCCATATATGGACTCAAAAACTCTAAATTATGTAATCATGTGCTATCCGCAGCTTGGAGAGAAAATGGCCGCATTCAATGGATATACTCTCGAGCGTGTCCTCCGCAACATTTACCATCTTATACCCTTCTTGAAAAACCTGAGTGATTCTACAAAGTCTATTTATCTTTGGAAAGTACCCAGCCTTGGGAGAATTATGCCAAAGACCATGAGCAATGACTTTGCGGAGTTAAAATTTATAAGAAACAGGATCGATGAAAAAAATTTGGCATATCTGCGCTCCAAAGTGCCACAAATTGATATGATTTTGAATAGATTAAATTACTATGATCTAGCAGCTCTGAACTCAAAAATGGCAAACATTAAGAAGTATGTGGATACAATTTCATCGGATGATTTGGAAAGAATTAATTCGTCAATTGAATTTATCTGTGCAATCTGGGACAATCATGGTCGAACCGCCGTTCTTAGATTACTTAAACACAAAGTATTCGATGCCGGGAGACCCTTCTTTCGTCTTCTACTCTAGATGCGTCCGAACAACTCGAAAATAAAAAAATATGCATTTCAGCAGCAATTAGTTTGAATCCATGTGAATTTTTAGGTATTACCGTGCGGTTATAATAAAGACCGTCTGTTTCGATATTTTGTTTTATTTGTCGTAGTTTGAGAACTTGTATCCTTTAGACCGGTTGCTTATAGTGCTAATAGTATAAACTGGAAGTTACTTTGATTAAGTTAAGCATCGATTTAATTATTAGCATTATTATAATGAAGAAATCTGGCAACCAGATGGCGTCAAAAACTCCAAGAAAAGTCAGTGGAATCGATTAGAATGGGGGAGCACAAAGCACTTTCTTTTGAATTTAATTTTAATGCAAATTGGTTATTTGCATAAGCAAATGTTTAAATAGAGATGCCTGTATTAAGCAATTTAATTTTGGGTTAGGAGCAGGTTGCTACCTAAGTTATCTGATGCTAACACGTTGATAGCCCTCTCAAAAATTACAGGAAGTCTTATCTAAGCATTGCGCACTCATTTGCTCATTTTATTATATGTGAAGTAGACCAAAATGTTAGAAACTTCTTGACGATTTTCTAGCGATTGTAGGAGTTTAACTGTGACTTAAAGCCAGTGAAAGATATATATCTATTTGCTTTTAACACCCGGACCTTTTAGCTATTGATGAGTGCCAACAACTTCCTCTTCCGACTCCAATAATTCCAAATCCACTTGGTTCTACTGAAATATCTCATTTCTCGCTCCTGGTGGGCGATTATTTTTTATTAACCTTAAGTAGGTCACTAAGTTCACAAGAGCACTTTTATGCCTAATTTTCTGGGGATTTATTAAGTGAGTTAGCGCAATTTTAATATCGCAATTAGTTTGTTTCCTGTTTAAGAGCTTATATTTCCACTGAATGCCTTTACTGGGTTGCATGTGAATGGAAAGATCAGATTGCTAATGAACCAGATAAAATTGGTTGCTAGAACTTAGAATCAAGCACCTAGATGGAATTCAAATGATTCATTTTTCCTGCACAAGTGAGCTAAAATTTAATGAATCGAACATATTGTTAATCCACGCGACAGGATGCGTGGTATCTCTACCATAATGTAAGACTAGTTAACTGGCAGGGGCATCTTATTTTGTTTAAATCGGTTCGAATAAAAATGACTTTCATCTTATCCATCCTCCACTCTCAATATGGAAATGCTAGCTTTTTCGTTGACATAACAAACTCAAAAAAGGCATAATTTATCCGATTTCTCTATATTCTGACCTCAAAATAATACATTTCTGAGACGAAATAGAGAATTCAGTATTTCTATAGAACAAAATAAAATTAAGCTCTTCGTTCTATATTTGCATCAATTTTCTTACCCACCATTTTCACGCATAGATGGATTTATTTACTGTTTCTTTAATTTAAATTATTTCTTAAAATTAAATCCCCTAATATTTATTTATTTCAAATGGCAGGCGTTTTGATAGATATCATTAGCCATTTAGCTGACTTCGGGCTTCACAGAGGTAAGGTTAATCAAAGTAGAAGAAAGTCGAGGGGAGGGGAACAGAGGAGCAATTCACAGATGTAAAAGAGACAAATAGACACAAAGGTAGAGTAAAGCTAAGATGAGTACTGTGAAGGTGTCGAATATGACAAGCAGTCGGGCCATGGTAATTTGAAGTCAGAAGTCAGCTGCCGGTTAATAGACTTTTTTGCCGTATGAGTATACGTTGCCCAGGGTGCACCACGTGGAGGTAAGTCTATCCCACAGCCCAAATCCTCTAATATTGATACCCTATAAGCTCAAAATAACATTTCGTCGAATTCAATGAAATCCCATTTGCATCTCACATCAGGTTTGAGGTGACTAAGTGACCTACCTTAACTTGTGGGGAAATC